ATTCAAATCCCGGGCTTCATTTGCAAGTGCGGTATGCCTACATTACCCCGCTAGTTCGAACTAGCGGAGTAGTGTAGACATACCCACACTGATTAGATCCAAAATCTCTGCAGTGGTCCAACCAGAAGACCATTTAGAGCGATAGCCAGCCATCATCAGCCAGGAAGACTCCATAGCTGTGTCTAGACTGCATCCCTTTTCCATAAAAGGGATGCAAATTAGACACATCGCAATTGCAAATGATGCGGGGATTTAAATAAGGGATCTTTAGGAAAAGGCTTTATTTCCCGAAAGTTTCCCGTCTAGAATGGCGCTTTTTTCTGGCAAAGCTCCAAGCCAGAAAAAAGCAGCAGCCATGTTTATGCAAATGAAGCAGGGGGGATTTAAATCCCCGCTTCATTTGCAATTGCGATGTGTCTAATTTGCATCCCTTTTACGGAAAAGGGATTCAGTCTAGACACAGCCACTGTGCGTGTCTCCATCATTCTCACAAACACACACTGTCCTTCACTCTCATCTCCCATCCCAACTCAACGTACTTCTTTTACTCCTTGCAAAGTGTGTTGTTTTTGATTGTTGACTCCTCTGTGCATTTCATAGTTTTCATTTCTCTCTTATGCTTAAATGTAATTCTTCGAGGAGTGAGTTCTAAAATGCCTAACCTGTTGTGGCTGGAGTAATTATCCCTATGGTAATTGCTGCTCCTGGACTTGGCTGGCATGTCCCTGCAGCCCCTGGGAAAGGCAGAATGGGGGGGGGGCGGTGTGTCTCCACATGCTATCCTTGCCTGCAGACACTATTCCTGCAGCTCCCATTCATCAGTATTGGGGAACCATAAGCAGTAGAAGCTGTGGGCTCAGTGTCTGTAGATGAGGGGCAGCACATGGCGCCATGAAGCCATTGCTGTACATGCCAGCTGCTTTCAGGAGTGGGCAGAAGTAAGCCTCGCTAACACCTTGGCTCCACCATCCAGAAGTCATCTCAGTCAAATGGTGCCCAGCCAGAGCCTGCTTCCTGAACCCCTGTTCCAGCCCTGAACCTCCTCCTGCACCTAACCTCCTGTCCCAGACCTTGCACCCTGAAACCCCTTCTGGACTCCAATCCTCCACCCTGGGCTAAGCCCAGAGCCCCTCCCACACTCCAAACTCCTTGGCCCAAGACCAGAGTCTGCACCCTTAACCCCCTGCCCCAATCTGGTGCAAGTGAGTGAGGAGGGGGGAGAAAGGATGGCGTGAGCAGGGTGAGGCCTGGGAGAAGGGGTGGAGCAGGGGCAGGGCCTCAAAGAAGAGGCAGGAAGGTAGGGGGGCATAGGTATTTGGGTCTGAGGTAGATGTTACATTGCACTTAAATTTAAAAAGTTTGGAGACCCCTGATACATGATTTATTCACAGTGCAACAGCTGTAACACATATCCCTGTAGACTTGGAGCAGCGGTCTCTGTATGCTGTGTCAAAGAGTCAAAGGCTGCTTAACCTGGCTGATTAGCCCATGTGCCCACAGCAAGTGGCATGTGTTCCTACTGATGATGCACATCTACACATGCCTTGGTGCACATAACAAAATTAATTCTAAACACAGATGGAAAAAAATGAGAGAGAACATTGACTAGGAGTGTGACAGGTTTGGATTGATATACATTCTAGAAAAAACTTAACTCTGCTGAAGAGCCTGGAAAAAGAAAATCGCAGGAGAGTGGCAGGGCCCTAGCATCCCACGTGACTTCCTTCAACACCTGCAGAGTGTTACACCTCACGCGCCCATAACCAAGGTCTATGGCAAGACGACTGCGCATGCGCCAGCGTGTATAAGTTCCATAGCTCCCGCTTAGTTCCACGAGCTCATCAGCCGGCTGTGACAACACTTGTCAGCGCCCCTGCCAATAGTCGAATTCCCCTGTTCAGCTTCATTCTGGCGGAAGTGGTTCGGGACGCTAGAGGTGGAATTGCCCGTCTTCGGGTTTGGCTTCAGGGCTGTGTGGGCGGGGCAAAGTTCTTCCCGGGCCGGGATCCGAGCGGTTCTCGCGAGAGCTCTTCCTCTTCCTAGGCCGGCGCTGAACAACACTTGTCAGCGCCCCTGCCAATAGTCGAATTCCCCTGTTCAGCTTCATTCTGGCGGAAGTGGTTCGGGACGCTAGAGGTGGAATTGCCCGTCTTCGGGTTTGGCTTCAGGGCTGTGTGGGCGGGGCAAAGTTCTTCCCGGGCCGGGATCCGAGCGGTTCTCGCGAGAGCTCTTCCTCTTCCTAGGCCGGCGCTGAGAAAGCCCCGCGGCCCGGGGGCCGCCCGGGAACCCAGCGCACCCCGGCTGGAGTTGGGGGACACCGGCTCCGCGGGGCCTGTCTCAGCCAGGCAGAGCTCGGGCCTCCGTCAGCTCAGCCCAAGGGCCCGCGGGGGGGGGGGGCGGCCTG